AGGCGTAATATAAAAAACAAACTGACACGTTTCATATGCTCCGATTTTTGGAATACAGTATAACCTCGATATAACGAAGCTCTGGAGCTGGAGGTTTTGCTTCGTTATATCTATATTTCGATTCACCAAGGTTCCTCGATATAACGAATTTATATATAGTTTTATAAAAACATTCGATTTACATAATGTCCCTTGATATAACAAATATATATATAATTTTATAAAACATTCGGTTTACATAATATGTTCCCAATATAAGAACTTGCATCTAAATTATAAAATTTCAGTATTTGCTTTATATATGAAATACACTATCGATCTATAATTAGATGGTTACTATACGTATAGTTCTATTAACTTCATTAAAGTAAGATGAAAAATTAACATAAAAAATCATTTCCATATTTTAAAGTCTATTGTCTGAAGTATAAACGCTAGTTTAATAGGCATATGTTCTTTACATATCAACTAAATATAGTAAATTCAAATTCATCATATGTTAGAACATTTTGAAGTATACAGTAGCTTAATGAACGAATGAAAATATAAATAAATTATACCATTCAAGAAATCTTCAAAATCGATTGTTTCATCATTACTCATCAATATTTCTAGTCCAAAGTTAGATGATAGTAAAGGTGGTAAACATCGCATCTAAATAAAATATCAATATTCTTAATATAGCTGATAATACAATAAATAAGATCCGCAAGTAAGAGTGATGCCTAAAATAGTGATTAAAAAATTACTATTCTAGGTGTTCACTTGGCACCACTTATATGTTAACTCACTTTAGACACAATACTTCGCTCCATAATATGTTTTAGTGGGGAATAAATACCGTAAACAATTCTTTGCATAGTAAGTTTCTGATTTATTTCATCTCACTATTGTAAAAATTAGATGTTAATTTACACTTATTAAAAACTTTAAACCAAAACTTTCAGACCCGGCTGAGCATATTTTCGAGGAAGCGAATAAGTAAAACCTTATCCTTTAAAGACCTAAGTCTATATTGATGATAGTTAGAAGTATCTTCAGAGTTCACACTACCTACTACGATGTTTGAGGGAACAATATGTAGAGTCTTAGCTTTCTATAAACATAGCATAGTTAGTTTCATTTAAAAATGAACTATAAAATAAAAT